TTCACTGGGGTTTCACCATTCTCCCCACTCCAAGTAGCCAATGAGGGAAGCTGATTCCACTCTTGGTTCTACGGGTTGGGTATGTGGTTCAGGCCTAAGGAAATATCATCTTACATCCTCTGGCCACAGTACAGGAGTAGACAAGAGGCCAATTTGAGCCAATAAGACTGGAGAAGCCATTTGCTGGGAGCTCCTAGGAAAGAAGCTCTTTTTATTTCTAGATGTGGTCATCTGATAAAAATTCTGGAAGATTTCTAGCCTATTTGCTACTGTGAGGTTAATCTGGTGCTTGGATAAAGCTGGTATCACTGGAGACAGAGAAGCAAGAGAGAAAAAACACAAAAACTAGGTCCTTGATAAGGTTGTGGAAGGTTGTGGAGCCATGAAGGACTTAGCCACCATGGAGGGCTACACAGTTATGTGAAAAGTTGGTTTGGATTTTCTGTTATTTGCTACCTAGAATCCTAAGTGTGAATTCTAAGAATGCATATGCTAATACTGTGCTTGATAACTTTTATCTCATGCCACAGATTTGTTCTCTTCCCTACCATCCTATCAGTAGGATAACTCCAAAGGTATGTTCCTCAATATTGTAGAAGAGGAAATCGGCTTTGCACTGCACTCCTTCAAAGCAGGAATGGGGACCAACCTGGTGGCATAGTGGTTAAGTTCATGGGCTTTGCTTTGGTGGCCCTGGGTGTGTGAGTTCAGATCCCAGGCACAGACCTACACACTGCTCATCAAGCCATGCTGTGGTGGCGTCCCATATACAAAAAGCAGAGGAAGATTGGCACAGATGTTAGCACAGGGCCAACCATCCTCACTCTCAAAAAAACAAAACAAAGGAGGAATGGAAATAACAAAGATTGGCTTTGAAAATCTCAGCTGCTCTCTCTTTGTGATTCTTGACTTAGTCAGAAAGCACCATTTGATAGGAACATTCCCATGTGAGCCAACATTTTTGGAAAGCCTTCAGGGATGTTGTAAATTAACTGCAGTCATTCTCCGAAGATGAATAAGGAAGTAGTCAAATTAGTACAGAGAATTCACTCCATTTTATCTGATATACTTATTTACCTCCTGGAGGGAAAATTCTTTCCCTAGGATAATATTTATGGACCAGAAAGCATGTATTTACTCAAAAGTCTGCTTAAATGTTGAATGCTAATTCTTGTCCCATTTTCTGTTGAAAATATTTTGATACTGACATGACCATATGAACCAAATTTGGGAGACGGGCATGTTTATGTCTGATATCAGTAGGGGAGCATGATTGTTATAGGATTCAAGTACAGCTGTTCTAAAAAGGGCAAAAATCATAGTGGCCTAAATGGGAGGGTATTCGTGTCTCGTGGACAGTCCTAGTGTAAGCAGTCCTGGTGTGGCACCTCCATCGTGTCAGACATCCAGGCTCTTTTGGTTTTGCTTCCCCATCAAACTTAACATGTAGTTTCTATCTCACTGGTGGTTCTAACTCCCACCACCAAGACCACCTACCAGCCAGTGGAAGAGATGAAGAAGGGGAAGGGCACGCCGATTCTCTTCAAGGGCCCATCCTGGAGACTGCACACCTCACTTCCACTCATGTCTGATTGGTCAGAACTTAGCCACATGGCCACACTTAGCTGCAAGGGAGGCCAGAAAACACTATCCTTAGCTGGGAGGAGGGATGTGTTCTGCTAAAACCTGGGGCTTTTACTACCAATGGAAGAATGGATTTAGAGGGACATAGCAATCTCTGTCAGAATGATTTATTTTCCATAGATATTTTAAGTTCCCACTCTGATAATTCCAACATCTCTGCCATATCTGAATTTGGTTCTGATGCTGGCTTTGTCTCTTCGAACTGTATTTTTTGCCTTTTTGCATGCCGTGTAATTTTTTGTTGAAAGCTGGAGACGGGGAACCGAGGTGAGTAGACCTTTGGTCTGAGGCGGGCATTAGGCTGTGTTTACTGTTTGCTGTAGCTGTGGTGTCACAGGCTAAACTTTCCTCTGTTGTCGTTGTTTTTGTCTCCCCTGTTGTCTCTGGGTTTCCCTAGAGCCTTCTTCTTAAATAGGGTCTTAGACGTGCAGTTCTTTCAGCTGCGTTCCGGTATTATCACACAGGAGCCTTGTTGATTGGTGGTGAGGTGTGGCAGAGGTGTTCCATAGTCCTACAATTAGGGATTAGGTCTTTTAGCGAGCCTGTGGCTATGCTTTTCCACCCTGGCCCCTCAGGTGGGATGGTAAGGCCAGAGGGGACTGGAGTTGCATATTTCCCTTCCCCCACGTGTAAGGCTAGAGCAGGTCAGAGTTGGGTATTTCCTTTCCCCCTGGTTGGTTAGGTTCTGGTAAAACCCAAGATAGTTAGGAAAGTAGTTTCTCCTGAGGATGGGCCTTGTTGAGGAGAACAGAGCACTCTTGTGTATTTCCAAATCGTTCCTTTCCCTTCCCCCTGCTGAAAGCATGAGGGGGTTTTCCTCTGATCTTCACAGCGAGAACCTGGAACACCTCCTGGAGGCAAAACTCATGAAAATGTAGGGGCTCCCATGACTGGGCTCCTGGAGTTTTTAGCTCTCAGACTTGTCCACACTGATCCTCCAGCGATCTGTCAGTTCAGGTTTCCCCACCCTGGTACTACCCCAGTGTCTGCTCCTGGGCCTCTGCCCCAGTAAACTGTGGTTCTCTGTATCCACCTGTCTGTCTCTTCAGTGTGGGGGCAGATGTTTGCCCTGTGACCTTAATTCTCTGATGGATCTGAGATGAGTTGTTAATTTTCAGTTTGTTCAGGGTTTTTCTTGCTGTTAGGAGAGAAGTGATGGCTTCCAAGTTCCTCACATGCCAGACTGGAAATTGGAAGTCATAGAGGTTATTTATTTATTTATTTTTGTGAGGAAGATCAGCGCTGAGCTAACATCCATGCCAGTCCTCCTCTTTTTGCTGAGGAAGACTGGCCCTGGGCTAACATCTGTGCCCACCTTCCTCCACTTTATGTGGGATGCCACCACAGCATGGCCTGACAAACGGTGCCTCAGTGCGCGCCTGGGATCCCAACCCGCGCCGCCAGCAGTGGAGTGCACGCACTTAACTACTCTGCCACGGGGCTGGCCCTATGATGGTTATTTTTAAACAAGAGCACATTCCTGCTTTAAAGCCTAGTTACTTGAAAATTGTAAGCCAACAACACAACTGATGCAAAGATCTATCACTGCACATTGTAGATAAGTCAGAAAACCCACAACAAGTTAAATTGATTATGATGGGTGCATGTTGGGGGTCATCGAACACGACCCCGGTATGAAAAGTACTAACAGTAATCTATAATTTAGCTGAGAGAATACCAGCAATTAAAAACCAAAACCAACCCAAGACACTTCTAGTAATTTATAAATAACAGCATTCTTCCTGGAAGCTATGCAAATTTCATGTTCTTAATAGAATACTGAATCAGAGTCTTCAGTAAATTTTAGTAATATGTTAATTTTAATTTTAGTTTTTGGAAAAAAAATTCAGGGTCTCATAATAACTCACTTGATAGAATACTAGTAAGTCACCACAAAAACTTCAGGAAGACCCTGGCCCTCCACTGTGAGCTGAGGATCCTTCTTCGAGAAACATGAATGGAAACAGCAGTGCTCAAATATTTCAGTCTTGGGACATTTTGTTTGTTTTAATTGAGGTGAAATTCACATAACATGCAATTAACCATTATAAAGTATACAGTTCAGTGGTATTTAGTGTATGCACAATGTTGGGTTTATCACCCCAGAAAAACACCCCATACCCATTAAGTAATCACTCTCTCCAGCCCCTGGTAACTACTAATTTACTTTCTGTCTCTTTGGAGCTGCCTATTCTGGATATTTCGTATAAAAAGAATCATACAACATGTGACCTTTTGTGTCTGGCTTCTTTCACCTAGCATAATGTTTTTGAGGCTCATCCACATTGTAGCATGTACCTGTTCTCCATTCCTTTTTATGGCTGAATAATATTGCAGTGTATGGATCTACTACAATTTGCTTATCTGTTCATCCATTCATGGTCATTTGGGTTGTTTCTACCTCTTGGCTACTTGGCTATAATGCTGTTATGAACAGTCATGTATAAGTTTCTGTGTGGACATAGATTTTTATCTCTTTTGGGTATATACCTGGGAGTAGAATTGCAAGGTCATGTGGTCATTCTCTTTTTTTGTTTAAAGTCATCTTTGTGGGTATGACATGAGATCTCATTGTGGTTTTGATTTGCATTTCTGAAATGACCAATGATGATGTGCTTGTTAGCTATTTGTCAGGACCTTTGTACATTATTAAAAAGCATTGAGGGGGCCGACCCAGTGGTGTAGCGCTCAGGTGCACGCGCTCCGCTGCTGGTGGCCCAGGTTGGGATCCCAGGCGCGCACCGCTGCATCGCTTGGCAGGCCATGCTCTGGAGGCTTCCCACATAAAGTGGAGGAAGATGGGCACAGATGTTAGCCCAGGGCTGAGCTTCCTCACAAAAAAA